GGGGGGGGGGGGGGAAAGGCCATAGAAAGCAGCAGTAAAACCCGACCTAGCCCTGGTTGAGCAGTGAACCTGAGGTATGGGCACTACTCTCCTTCTCAGTGAGATTTGGTGGGCACGCGGTGAAGTCAGAGGCCAGGGGCAGCTTTTTCGGGATGCAAGAAGGGTGGAAGGGTAAGGGCTGGAAGGGAGTGACCCCAGGCTTAAGAGAGACGCCCTGGAGGGCAACTGAGGAGATACTGTCCAAGGGTGGTGGGTTCTCCAGCAGCTCTCCTCGTGTGATTTCTCACCCTGCCCTGCTGCTTGTGGGAGTAGACTAGTTCCTGCCGTCCGGCATGGTGCTCCCCGATCCTGCATTTGATGGCTTCCTGATCGCCCAGAGTCCTGAAGGTGTGTGGGGGGGCTGTCAAACCCACTGGGACAGTCTGGGGATGTGAGAGCCACGGGTGTAGTGAGGTCCGGCCAGCGCAGCCCTGACTCCCGCGCCTGCTCCCGGCTGCCCTGCCCAGGTGGGCCGGGGCGGGGCGGAGATGTGAGCGTGTGTCGGTGTATGTGTCGGTGTGTCGGTGCGTGTGCGGGCGCGCACGTGTGCGCACCAACATCTGCGTGCGCCTGTGCCCGCAGCTGTACGCGTAGGGGGCGCGGGCGGAGGAGGCGAAAGGGGGCCGGTTCTGCGGCGGGTGGCTCCTAGCCTCCCCCGCCCCCTTCCCTCTGGGTCCGCTCCTCGCTTCGGCTCGCATTCTATCTCAGGCGGCCGGCGCAGCCCCCTCTCCGCAGCCCCGGCCCCGGCCCCCGCCCACCCCTGGGGTGGAGGCAGCCGCGCCGAGCCGCCCGCGGGAAGAAAGCAGCGCTCCGCCGGCTCCGCGCCCCTCCGCGGGGCCATGCAGCGCCTCTGCCCGCCTGGTCCGAGCGCAGCCCCTCGCCCCGCCGCCCTTCGCGCAGCCTGAGCGCGCCCGGAGGTGGGACGGGGCCGGCACAGGCGACACAGGAAGGCTCCGTGGCTCTGCCAGACTCCTCTGCTGCTCCGGCCATGGGGAAGGGGTTGGAGGGCACAGCGGCCCGCTGCGGGCTGGGACTGGGATACCTGCTGCAGACGGTGGTGCTCCCCGCCCTGGCTGTCCTGGGGGCCAGCCGCCCCGGCTCCGCGGCGCAAGGTAAGGCGATGGATGGATGAAGAAGGGTTGGGGCATCCTCTGTGTGCGGGTTAGTAATGCGAATTTATGCCGTGATTATCTTTTTTACTACGTTTGTATGTGCAAACAGCGCGATTCCCCGCATGCACGACCCCCGCCGGGGTCCGGTCGTAGCGGCCGGGTCGGGTCTGTAGATGCTGAGCCTGGCCGGGACAGGCGTTTGCTTGTACTCCGTCCTCAAATGGGGCATGGGGAGCGGAAGGGAAGTTCGAGCCGAAGGAGCTGTGCCGGCAGCCCTCCGGGGAGGGAGAGCGGCGCCGGTGCGCCCCGGAGGGCTGGCAAGGTGCGTGGGAAGGGCAGGTGCGGGGTGGGTGTCCCTTCGCAGCGGCAAAGCCGTACCCTGGAGCTCTGCAATCGACGGTCGGTCTTGAACCCCCTAAGGCCCCCCACGCTCTCCTTTTTCCTGCCTAAAACATGATACACCAGAAGGGAGTCACCGTCTTTCTGTGTTTATGTTTTGAAATTTTGTTTCCTCTCCCATGTCGAGGATTCTGGAGTACATCTCGATCTGCCTTCCCTGTAACCCTTGTATAAATTCTCCTTTCGAAGTGGCAATGTATTGGTTCTCAGTGCGTGTTTAGGGGTGTTTGAGAGCATCGCAAAGAGCCCTGGCTCAGTGTGGCACTCGCCTGGCTGACAGCCACAGCAGGAGGTTTTTTTCTCCTGCGAGCTGATGCTGGACAAACTTTCTCAGTGCTTCTCTTCTTTCTTTCCAGGAGTTAGACCTAATGTGGAAATGTATTGCTTTTGTGGTACACAAGAGAGAGAAAGAGAGAGGTTTCTGCTGCATGTGGGCAGAGCTGCATAGAGCAAAGATGTGCGGGTTGGTTAAAGCAGTTGGAAATCCCAGTTATACGATTAACAAGAGAAAAGGAATTTTAGAAACTTCTTTGTTTATTTGCCACATGTATGTAACCAAGAAGTAATAACACGTGCCAGACTTTTGATTTGAAGCTGCTAGCATAATGCAAGTGTAAGAATGATTTTTCCCCACATCATATCTGTGGAGAGGCACTTGTGAAAACTGCACAGATCTGACCCTGTGCTCTCACCCAGCCATTACAGAGTGCACTCCTCTGTGGCCTTTTAGACAGGAGAGCAGTGCTGGTTGCTCTGATTCCCCGTGCCCCTGGCAGTCTTTCTGTGGGTTGTGGGAGCTGCTCTCCAAGGCAGGGAGCTGTAGGTTTGCTGCTGGTGGGCTGGGTGCACTGAACACCATGTCTGTACATGTAGCAGTGCTAATCCATTTCCTGCTGATACTTACTCTATCTCCTCAGAGTCACGTTCCCTTCCTCATTTATCTCACAGGAAGATCAGAAAACTGGCCATGAAAAGGGGGTAGGAGAGAACGAGAGTACAAAAAACCCTTATGTATTGTGGCACATTTCATCTGTGTCTTCCATACTGTTTCCTTTCACTGATTGGTTTCGTGTTCAAGGTAAGATAGGTTTGATATTTTGTATTTAGAGGTTTTAATAGTACCATACGCATGTAGACCTACGTGTCAGGGGATATATATCGTTCTGTGTCGATATAGATATATCATGTCAGGGGGTGTTGGAGAAGAAAGCTCCCCTCAGACAGTTGAACCTGGAGTGGAAAGGAGCCTGCCTGCTCTGCTGGCAGGACACTGGAGTTTCACATGACAGATGGCCTGAGCAGGGAAGAGAGGACCCCCTGCGTTTGGCCGCTCCAGAGCGCTCATCTCAGTGCCACAGGGCTCATAGCTCACACTCCCGGATGGTTTCTCCTTTCCACACTTACCCTCTGTGACACAACGCTGTGTGACAGAAACGCCAGGAGGGCAGGGGAGCCAGGCCCCCTCTTCCTACACTGCAAGGGGCAACGCACGTGTGGGACCTGCCACAGAACACAGGTGTGCTCGCCTACCCAGAAAGGGATGGAGAACTCTTCAGCAACACTTTCCAGTGTGTGATAAACTTCCACAACAGAGTGAAAATTCCAGGGAATCTGGTTGGGATATAGCTCTTTGTCTTGGACTTCCCCCCCCCCCCCGGGTATGCTTTTATTTTTATTGCTAGGACCAGGCAGAGAATTTGGGTGCAGACCTGGTTTTGGGATCTTTCCCAGAGCTGAGAGATTTTCTGATTGGTGGGGATCTTCATGTATGTATGTGTACACGGTGCTTCAGTGAGGCAATGAATCAACAGTTTAACTATGCCCTCTTCAGGAAGTTTCCTCATCATATAACACTGGACAAAGTTTTCCATCCATTCTATATATACATTGGGAAAGTATATATGTTTCGTCTAAATTCCCCAACTATCTTTAGCTTTTGAAGCAGACTGAGAAAGCTATGAGCATTTCTGGGACTTTCTAGGCTTTCATACCTTCCTTTTTCATTGCCTCGTAGAAGATGAATTTATTAACTGGGGGTTGGTGACTGACCCCCCCGCCCCCTCACTCGCTTGCAGATTCATTATCACTGCATCTTGGCGTCCTCCTGTGAGCTTCTCAACAGACCTAAATACACTTTTTGTTTTATGAGTATTTCTTATCTTATCTGAAGCTGTCTAAGTATTTTTCCTCTGTTATCAGGAGAGAACAGGAAATGGCTGCAATGCTAGAGACAGCTCTTAATTCTCAATGTTGAGTGAATGGTGCCAGAGCGATTATCAAGCCAGAATCAACTGTGATCTGGTATTCACTGCATTTACTGTAGCTGTATCAGAATGAGAATTTAAATGCCCCAAACTGTGCCCAATTTCAGTGCCATCTCCATAAGAGCAACTTTTCCTTTGGCTCTTTAGTCAGCAGAGACTGGGTTTCAGCTGTTGTGCTCCCCTACAGCCTCCACACTTCCTGCCTCCCAAACTATTATCCACTTATCCTGTGGTTCCTACCTTTTTATTGTGTAGGTGGGACGAGAGGGAGGGTCGGGCTATCTATCTGTAGTGACAAGCATGGTTCAGACAGCTTTTGGGGTTAATAACAATGGTGTAAAAAAGCTAAGTGGACTACATATTAATGAGGTTGTGTTTCATTTGTTCCTTTACAATAAAAGAGTGCATTTTTCATGCTTAACCCCTCAAACCTAATTAAATCAAAGTGATAATTTAAAAAGAAAACTGTAAAAGAGCCATATGTGCAGATATTTGTCTTGCCCCAGCATAGTCCATATTAGCAACAGCAGCAGTTTGAAAATGCTTAGTGCGGAAAAAGTGAAATATAACATGTGAATGTACTAACCTTTTGGGGATGCATTTCCTAATTAAATACCTAAACACATCTTGTTGCAAAAAAAGGCGGGGAAAGGACTTAATTATCTTGATGTATCAGTGGACCTCTTGTACTTGATCATGTGGGTGTAGTATTTGTATTAATAAAGCAAGAGCCAAGTAGTATTTTGTTGTGAATGGATAAGGCCCTTTGGAACATTAATCTGTTTTAAAGCGATGCACTGTGGTAGATTTCAATGATGCTGACAAGTCTGAGCTGGATGTGGTAGCCTGTACTGGTTCTGAGTAGCATTTTAGTACTGCAGTACTCTTTGCTGAAAGCAAAGCAGCCACTGTGTTCCCTGAGAGAGGTGCAGTTTAAGCAGGATTAAAATTAAGTGGATGAATCTGTGTACAGAGGAGAGATACCTCCCTGGGAGCATGGGAGTCTGAATCTGAGCTCTTCTTCCTCTGGCTCCAGGCTTTAGCAGCTGGTTGCAAGAGTTACGGAAAAAATATATAGATCACATACAGGCTCTTCCTGATGGCTCTTCAGCATTACTGTCAGTGTCATTTATTCCTTTGTACAGTAAGGGCCAGAGTGCATTAAAACATTTCCACAGTTGTGCATGTTTGCATTAAATCACTTTACTTGGATCATTCACCGCACAACTTTATTTTTCTTTGCTAATGGTCTTAAACCCCAGTTATTCACTATATTTTGGGACTAGCTTTGTGTGTGACATCCAAATTCAGAAACAGGAAACAGCCTTAACCAAATTAAAAAGATTTTCCTAATTTAATTTTCCAAATACAGTACATCTGAAAACAGGAATACAACTCTGTGCCAAGGCCAGGCAAATCAGTTCCATAGCTGTGCAGTAGGAAAGTAGAAAATGCAGGATATATTTATTAGATATTTCCAGGTAAATATCTTGATTTTTATGCAAATAGAAGAGAGGTGTAATGAGGCACAGTCTGTCCAGTTCAGTTGAATAAGATACAAAAGAAATCAGTTCCTATGGAAAGTAAGAGAAGTCCAGGCTGAGAAGGACAACAGCTGACTATTTCTGTATAGTATATGACTAGAATTTTGTGCATAAGTAGAATACAAAGGAGAGTTATACTTTGAAAAGCAAAGCTACGTTTCTGTCATGCTACCCACAAAACAATTTTGGTTTTAGTAACCTATTTTATAGTGTATGGCTGTATTTCTTGATTTTGGGATCTTTCTGGATTTCACATCATCGGGCTTTTGAGGAATCTGTTCTGGATACTTTTTTTTACGAAAAGGCAAAAAAATTACTTTTGCAGGTCGTCAGAAAAAATATGTTTGAACTGCTGGTGCAAAGGAGAGTTCCTGGATAAATTTGCATTACTCTGACTAGTGAACGGTTTGCTGTGATTTAGTCAAAGAGGATTTGGCTCAGTGTGAGTCTCAAACTGTTGCTTTGTCATTGAAAACCTGTTACTGGAGGCAGTCTTTGAAATGATGGATGCTCTGCCTATGCAATCTATTTCACATAACTGTCTATATATACCTTTAGGAAAAGATGGCATTGTCTTTCCTCCCTTTAGGCTGGGTAGAGGGCTGTGCTGGTTTGTGAAGTGCACATCTTGTTAGCCACCCAGTGGAGGTATTCAAGTCTAGCAGGCAGCAATCTTGGTACCGGTGCCAGTGAAGTAGTAATTACAGCGTCTGTCGTTTGCATTAGCTGGCTCTGCTGTGCATTCGGTTCGGAGGTACAAAACAGCTTCTCAAGTACAAGTCAGGAATCAAAG